ATGGCTTGTAATTTGGTCTTTTAAATAAATAAACCAAAGTAGCTGTTTGCCTTTTGAAATCTTGTATATATAAGGAGAAATATGTTTCTAGTCTAATAAGTATAAATTATTAAATATAATAAATTGATCAAGATATAGAATACTATGATGCTTAAGTTGTTTTTTAAAAGTTAAGTATTTTGGATATAAGAAGAGCAAAGATTCTAGTAAGATAAAATCTTGTTGAATAGTATATGAAATGTTATAAGTTGGATTAGAAGTAAATGTGATGTCAAGATATTTAAAAAGTTAAATTATTTTAAAATTAGTAGTATGTTTGTTTGATTTATCAATAATAGAATTATCATATATTAAGATACTAGTAGGTGATTAAAAATTTTTTTAAAGTTGTTGAAACTGGATATAAGTACTAATACCAAGAAGGTCAGAAGAGTTAAGTCTTTTGGTATAGTTTGTAATATAGTATTGAAGTTAAATATTTTATATATATTGAATATTATATAGTTAAGAATAAGTAATATACTAATAGGAATTGTATGACTGAGTTTGGCTTTGTTTTTAACAAGTTCAATATAGTTGGCAAGAATTTTATTATATATGTTCTGACTAAGAACAATAATTAAATATGATATTTAATTGTAAAGATAATAACTATATTAATAATATATTAGCATATGTTAGTAATTTTTTTAGTCTTGCAATTTTAATAAGATATGATAATTTAGCTGTAATAAGCTTAGTTTGTTTTGTTTGTTTGTTATTAAGTATAAACTAGTATTCTAAAAACTTAAATAGTTCATTTGAAGAATGAAGGTTAAGTAAATGACTATTGTAAGTAATAGGACTATAGTTAGTTAGAGGATTATTAGTTGTAAGTATTAATTTAGTAAGATTAATTTGAATATTAGCTACGTTGTAAAAAGATTCTGTTATAGATAGGATTTGTAAAAGTTCTTGTTATAAGAAAGCAATCTATAAAGTGTCATTCATATAGGCAAAAACAGAGCAATAAGATTCAAGTTTGTTAAATATTTGATTTTTAAGATTAGTTAACCAAGAAACTTTAGTATTATATTTATTAAAGTTATTATAAAGATATGAAATAAGTAGGTTATAATATATTCTTCATAGAAGAAAAGTAATAGTTTCTCTCTAAACAATATCAATAAGTACAAGATATAAAGAAATAAAACTAAGATTTGTAATAACTTAATTTTGTTAGTCAGTAAATAGATTAATATATAATAGTATTGGTAATAATAGAAAAAAGAACAAGACACTATAAAGAATGTTTAAAAAAATCAAAATTAACTAAATTATAAGCTTTGCTCATATCTTAAGACAGAAGTCAGATTGGTTTTAAATTGCATAATGTATCTTTAGTGAGATTGTTAAGTATATATATAGGTATTGAAGTACTATTGTTAGATAAAGCAATATAATTATATAGTAAGAGAATTGAATATTGTAAAAATATTGTACAGATTCTGTCTGTAATAAATAATCTTTATATAGACTTTATGAATATGTTTAGTTAGACTTATAGAATAAATAAAATTAAGATCTTTATCAAATGTATTTTATTTTAGAATAGGATATTTTCTGCTATGCTTTTATTGTTTTGAAGTTTGGTCTAAGTTAAGACAGTAATTAAATAGGACAGTTATAGCTTTAATGCAAACAATACCTGCATGTTTAAGTATTTTATAACTGATATTTGTAGAATTACAAGCTTTTCTATTAAGAAGTTTTGCTATAATTTGAAGCATTTATTCTTCTGTGATAGAAATAATAAGAGAATTATACTATTAGGTATTAATATATAATTGTAATTGATATTTTACTTAATATTATTATAGAACAAATAATTATTATTTTATTATTATTATTATTTATTATTATTATTTAGTATTAGTTATTCTTATTATTATATTATTATTAGTAGTAGTTATTAGAACTTTTTGAATACTTAGTAATCACTTAGTTGCTTAGTTGTTTAGTTACTTAATCACTTAGTTGCTTAATGTTTAGTCATTTAGTTATTTAGTTACTTAGTCATCTAGTTTACAGCTATATAAACCTTGCTAAATTCTCTAAGTTTAATTAAGCAATAGATATATCTTTTTTCTTTAATATTCTAAAAACATATTTTAAGATTCTTTAGAAACAAACTTCTAAAAATAGCTTTTTTGTAATTATTTTAATAAACAGTTTTTGATTATAAACTATATTAATATTTTTTTTTAAAGTAATTATTACAATAAAGTTTAATTTTCTCTTAGTAAATAAAGTAAAGTTAGTAATATTGTATTACCTTTTTCACATTACCTTAAAGAAGTATATAGTTTTTTAACAATATCTAACAAAAGTTATACTTTTCTCTTAGATATCATATATACTCATAAGAGATTCTCTGTACTATGTCATTATTATAGTTTAAAAATGTTTTTATCTATAATAATATTATAGTAGTTAGTTATAATAATAAGTAATTTTATATTAAAAAATTAATTTAAACTAATTTTTTTTCTTGTTTAATAATTACTAATTTACAATAAATACATTTTTTATATATTTAATAACTATATTAATACTTATATTTTTTATATTAATAATAATTAAGTTACAAATTTGAATAATATTGCAGTTATTTTAAACCCTTATATATTTTTTAAAAATTGGATTCTTATATGTAATTATTTTTAATTTAAGTTAATATTTGTAATTATTTTCATTTTATTAAAATTTTTTTATAAACATATTAAATTAAAATAAGTTGCTATTTTAAATACTAAAAATAGCTCAAAATAATTACAATATTAAGAACTCTTTCTAATAATCATTTGAACCAAACTTTTCAAAATGCTAAACTACAGAAAAATAATATAGTTATTATATTAAACTTTATAAAAACTTCTCTGAAGCACTAGACATGCATAATAGGCATTGAAATAGAGTTGAAAAAGAAACTATCACTTTGTGATGATAGTTTAAAGAAGCTCTGGAACTATAAAAAAAGTGATTAGTAAAAGCTAAAAGTCTCTCATAAAATAAACAATAGTATTGGATATATTATTTTTATACAATTGTAAAACTTACAAGAAACTTCCAGAAGAGTTAAGCACTCACAAAAGCTATAGTTTGGTTCACCTTATGCTTTTTCTTTTTTTTAAAGAAAATTTTGTAAAAAGTAGATGATTTAGTTTATCTTTTTTAAAAGATTAATATATAAAATATCAAAACAGTTAATAGTATTTACTTTCTAATTAAGATTGTTTAAACAATACAGCAATACAAATATGACTCATATACATGGCTTAAACTACTGAAACCTTATAAAATACTGTTCCTAAACTAATCAGTACCTTATATCAACTTTTTATATTCAAATTAAAGTTTTATTCTATATGGTTTTTGTTAAATATTCTAGTAGATAGAAAAATAGTAAAATTATTCTATTTAGTATAGTTTATAATTTTTAAAAGCCTGACACAGGCTTATAATTGTAACCATCTGATAGTTGTATGATAAGAATCATATATATCTTTTCTTTTTTTTCTTATTCCTTTTTTTTTTTTTTTATTTCTTGCATTTGTATCTTTTATTGTCTATTTTTATATCTCTATGTTTTTTTATATAAGTTTTTTTTGTTTTTATTCACTTTTTTATGAGAAGATGTTATCAGATTGGCAATATCCTATTGTAGAGTAGTAGTCAGATACAGCTCCTGATGTATTCTAATTTTTTTTAAAATTAAACAGACAGTCAGTGCAGGCAGATCACTTGTAGAGACTCATAGAAGCATCTATGAGATGTTGGACCAGAATTTCTGAACTAATTTATATATATGTAATACAAAAATATATAATAAAGATGACTAGCAAGACTGCTCAAATGAAGAAAAAAAAATACTAAAAATAACTAAACACTCTGCTAAGTTTTATTCAAAAACTTTGTTTTTAAAATTGATTATTTTAATAACTGTATTATATATATTAATTTAAAATTTTTTTTTCAAAATTATATATAAGATTGTTAATGAAATATATTATTAACAAACCTCTGAAGCTTACACACAAGATTTTTTGTTACATAACTATAGCCAATTAGACTAAAGAAACAAGTACAATATAAAAATTATATCTTTTTAAAAAATTATTATTTGCTTGAAATTTTACTTATAAAACTATTTTTGTATTTTAATAAAAAAATTAAGAATGTGATAAATTAGTGAAGTGGATAAGTTGTCATCCTTCTAAGTAGTAAGTTATGAGTTCAAAACTCACCAATAGCAAAATTTAGATAATTATCTATATAATATATAGACAGTATTATAATAATAGTATTTTGTCAATCAGTTGAAATAAGATACTTGTAACTATGATTATATTAGCATAACTGGCAGGTTTGAGACATCAGTGTAATCTTAGTTACACAGAGGAATGCAAACTGATACTAAATAGTACAAAATTTAAAATAAGTCCTAAGGTTGTATAAATCTATAAAATTAAAAAACCAGAACTCACTTAAAAATTTTAACCAGAGAGGTAATACTGATCTTTGATAGTATTACTATAAAGACTAGACCTAGAAAATAAATATCAATATAAAGAAATCAAGTGGGCAAGAATCTCAAGTAAGAAGTATTACTAACCAAGCTGACAGATTTCAGATCAGAGAAAAAGAATATTAAGCCAACCTCAATATACCAAAGATAGATTATAGTTTTTTCAAATTATCTAAATTGGAAGTCTGAAGTCAAAGCAGAAGTATACTCAAAATACTAAAAATATGTTATGAAATCAGCATCAGAGTTTGGATAAACTCTATAAGAGTAACTCTTGTTAATATTCTAAAAGTGAATAAATAGTTAACAACAGAAAACCCTTTGCATCTTACTAACAGATAATATACTGTAATTTCCTAACATGTGTACCCTCCATGAGCTATACCCTATAGCAATTTAGAATGCCAAATTTTGATTTATACCCGAGTATTAGTCATGGTACCCCCCGACTCATATATCCTCCCATAAGTTGTATCCCGCTTTATGCATAAACAAAATTTTCACTAATCAAATTTAAGAATCTGAGGTAATACGAATATCAATATCGAGATATCTAATTTCTCCCCACAGTTCTAATTGGACAGTTGTTCTAATTGGACAATGCTGACTACGCCAGCTTTCGTCTACCAATCAAATTAAAAGATCAGATGTAATATAAAATTTTCAAAAAAAAAAAAAAATTCAAAGTTTTTAAAGTTTTCAAAAATCACAGTAGCTTAAAATTATAGTTACAAAACCATCTTTTGTGTTCTAACAAAAAAAAATTCCTTGCAAAATTTTAGTATAATATTTGTTCTATTAAACCTTTATACTGTTTCAATGTCATTTTCATTATTTGATCAAAAAGTAGGATTTTTTTCTCGTTCAATAGGAACTGTGGGGAAAAATTAGTAAACCCAAGATATCGACTCACTAATTCAACACTTTAAATTTTTATTTTTTGTTTTGTTAAAAAGGCGTCTACCTATAATTAGTGATCTGGAAGCTTTTTGAACATCGAATTAGATTAGTTACTGTATAATATGAGTGACGAAAAAGGAAAACCTGTAAATGATTTACAGGTTTTCTGTTTCTGTCACTCATATAACAAATCTTTCTAATGAACTCAATAATAAAATTTTGGTTTAATTTAAATTGATGTGTAGAAAATAGACCGGATAGTAAAAAAAAAAAAAAAATTAGATGTATTATCAAAATAGAACAAAGTCCAAAAGCTTTTTTTACAAAAATACCTTTTTTTTTATCCTTAGCTGTACCAATGCTGTTTTGATAAAAGATTCAAAAATTGAATTGTTCATTTGAATTGTCACCTCAGCAGATCTTCACTTAAGTGTCTTTTTTTCATCCTTAGTTGTGTCTACACCGTTTTTATTGCAGAATCCAAGATTAGGTTGCCTATCAGGATCATTACCTTCAGCAGGTTTGAATACCATTCGAATGCTTTTTTTTCATTATTATCTGTGCCTATGTTCAAAGTTCCAAATAAACTGTTTCATCAAAATTGCCATCTTTTAGCAGGTTCCAAATATTACTTGATTGTTTTTTTTTGTAGAATTCAAGATTAGGCTGTCTATCGGAATTGTCACTTTTGAATATCACTCAAGTGTTTTTTTTCGTTCTTAGCTGTGATTACATTATTTTTATTGTAGAATTCAAGACTAGGTGTAATTAATGACAGCATTAATAAATAAATAATAAAAAAATGTTACCTTAATGAGATATAAAATAATAAATATTAAATCTAAACCTGAAATATATAAACTCAAAGTTTTTTAAGTTTTGTCAAAAAAAAAATAAAACTTCAATGAATATGAAGCCCGATGATTAAATTACTCTTGTTAGTATTCATAAATAATAAGACAGATCACGATATATAAAATTAATCAATTTAATTAAGCAACAGTCAAACAATAAGATTTTTAATAAAAAATAACTCATATTCAATTTATATTTTTGACAGTAAACTAAACTCTAAAATTCACAAATTTTATTGATAAAATCAAATAAAACATTCTAGAAATCTATAACTATTCCCAAACATTGTTATCATCTTCAACTTCTTCATAAATCTCACCTTCAATATCATCACCATTAATTACTTCAGAATTTTCATCATTTTCATCTGTTGGATTTTCATTCAACAACTCATAATCAAAAACCTGATCATCTTCCACTCCATCCATTTTAACCGAAACACCACAGCACTTAAATGCCTTTACTATCAACTGGGGGTCAACCTCCTCCTATGAATCCCTTACCCATTGTGCAAGAGTAGTGTATAATGGTTTTCTAAAATGATCAGCAGGTGTTAATTGATGGATCGCAGTAGACATCCACTCATTATAACGGCGACACACCTAAAAATTTAAATTTTATTAATGCTGTGTATTCAAAAAATCAAAATATTTCAATAATACCTTATCCTTAAAGCTCTTATTTATCGTGACATCTAGGGGCTGTAGTTTACTAGTTAACCCTTCGGGAATTACTGCGAGGTGGGTGTTATTTTTTTTAAATTGATGTTTAATGGAATCCATTAAATGACCTCTAAAGGAGTTCAAAACAAAAAGGGACTGTGGTTTTACTTCTTTACTATGTTTGCTCTAAACATTATTAATCCAATAGTGCATCTCATTCTTATTTCACCATCCTTTTTCATTTACTCTAATAATAACACCTTGAGGAAACACATCACGAGGGATAAGTTTCAACTTAAAAATGCATACAGGCGGAAGCTTTATTCCATTAGCAAGGCATCCGAGAATAACAGTAAAATTTGTTCTTTCATGCCCAGTGGTTCTGATACCTACAGTTTTTAATCCACACTTTTCAAGAGTAACTGGGCTAGGTACATCGAATGATAAGGACATTTTATCCATGTTGCCTATACAACTAACAGGAAAGCCATATTCCTGACGTTTAAACAAAACATAGCTTAAAAATTCACTTTTTTTTTCCTCAAGATCAGCTGGAAGGTGCTGTGAAACTGTCGTATGCCTATGGTTTGAAAAACTATAGCGAGACAAGAACCGATTTAACCAGTTTTTAGAAAATTTAAAGGCACCGATGTCAAAATAAATATCCTTAAATTCATTAGTTTGTGCTAAGGCCTTAGCCTTTTTCTCAACCATATTTCTGGTAACAGCATTCTGCTCTTTATGGCATTCATTAATCTATTCAACAAGCCTTTCTTCTAATAACGGAAATTGGGCCTGACGACCACGATTAAGCATTAAAATGTAGGGTGCGATACTCAGAAGCTCTTGCTTTTTGTTCAGCCATTCACGAACCTGCTTTGGTTCGATTTCAAATCTTTTTGCAGTGGCTCTCACATTTTTAATATGCTCATAGTAATTAATAACCATAAGCTTCTCTTTGGCGCTCCATGAATGATGGCTTTTATTGGTAATGCAGGCGGTTCTTCTGATGTTGCTTCTTCGTGGAGACATTTTTGGTGCTGAAAAACTTTGCATACGTATCAAAAGATGTTTTTTTTTTTTTTTTTTATATAAAATTGGTTCAGGAACCACAATACACAACAAATTATGTGCGTTACTATTAATTCATAAGGCTACACAAGGCCACACGAGAACATACTCCAAGTTAGGGAACAGAAATGCCGGAAGGCAAGAATCAATTGATAAGATGGGCAAGCAAATAACATTTGTTATATACAATTGGATTTTTATAATAAACTTTGAAGATCTTTATGTATGACATCGAATCTATGACTCAATAAGATCACTAGATCAGGTGTAATATGAAAATCATGCTTTTTTTAAAAAACAGGCGATAACTAAAAATTTTGACTATGAAACTACTTTCTGCGATCTAATAAAAAAAATTTCTTGTAGAATTTTGGTATAAAATATGCATACTATAATCTCTATACCAACCTTAACATGGGGTTTTAGTACTTTAAAATATTACGCATATTAAAGTTGGTTTGATTATTCAAAAAGATCTGATTGGTGCATATATGATGGTCTCACTGGGGTAGCTCATACTCATGCGTATGGTTATGTTCGGCCAATCAGTAATAGGAATTACTTGCAGCCAATAAAAGTTTAACCTGACATATATACCCCTCCCTAATACGATATATCCCTTCTACACATGTACCCTGGGTACTAAAATGAGCTAAAGAAATACCCCGGGTATACATGTTGGGAAATTACGGTACTCTAAAATATATAATAGTCTAAAAACTAATACAAAAAAGATAGATACCATACTGCTTAGACAGTATATCAATTAGGTATATATGAGAGATTAGTTGAAGTTACATCATAATAAGACAGATAATCAGAGGGTTTAAATGAATAATCTTCTAGTAGATTATAGGTATAGCATTTAGTATAAAACCTTAGAACAGACTACTAAAATAAGCAACCAAAAGTTGCATACATAACTAGTTGTACTCTCATCTCTGTAAAAATAGTTATAGTAACTAATCTAATAAAAGTCAATAAAGTATTACCACAAAGTATGACCTTTAAAAAAAAATAAAAAATTCAAAAATATATAAAAAAATAAAAAAATTACTTGTAAAATTTTAGTATAAGCTATAACCTTTTTTGTTCTTAATCCTAACTCTAAAAATAATGCTTATTACTTTAAAATCCTTTGCTTAATTCGATTGCTTTGATTTTATATTACACCATGTAGCAAAAAAAATCTTGTAAATAAGCTACAAATGTTTTATAAACAAACTACCTCAGTATTACTACCAAAATGTTTCAGTTACATGAGATTTTTGTGGCATAAACAAATCAGATTTCAAGATCAGGTGGAACATTACACAATAAGGAAAATTCAAAACAAACATTCGCTTTGTCAAAAATCACCCATAACTCAAAAATTTACATAAGAAACCACCTTTAAAAAAATTTCTCAAGCAATTTTACTGACTTAAAAAAATTTTTAGTCCTTATGTGACTGCAACATTTTGAGGAAGAGTAAGTCTATGAACACCTACCAGATCATGTAATTTGTATCTACCAATCACGTAATCTACTACCTACCAAATATGCATATAATTTAACCTACCTAATACTTATATTAAGTAATCATCTCATAAATATTACAGTTATACAACATATATTAATGAACTGTATATCAAAATTTAAAAAAGCTTGTTCATATTATAGGTTAAATTTAATCTTGTTATTTCTTACAATGTTTTATTTAATCCTATATGTATTAACTTGCAAGCTCTTATTAATAATCTTAGTGTTGTGTAAAAAAAAGTGTTAAATTAGATTTAATATAAAAAACTATAATTGTACCAAAAAAAGCAGTTAGAAGAGGATTAGATTAAATATGCTATTGATATAAGGATAAAACCTCCAGCTAAGTTGTAAATAATACCAGGAGAATTTATACTTCTAGAAAAGTATATATTAGACTTTGTGATTTGCACCCAATAAAGTTACAAAAAATTTGACTTTTGTAAATTGTCAAATATCTTAAGTTTAATGTCAATTAAATACTTTGCGATTTGTCTCCAATAAAGTTACAGAAAATTCAACTTTTGTAAATTATTAAATATTTTGAGTTTAATATCAGTTAAACACTTTAGTATTTGCCTTCAATAAAGTTACAAAAACTTTAATCTTTGTAAATTGTCGAATATCTTGAGTTTAATATTAATCAAACACTTACTTATTTGATTGTTTATTAGAAAGAATAATTATGATGAAATCGAACAAATAAAATATAGTTTTTTATTTAGAATACACTTTGCACAAAACTTGAATCTAGGAGTATAGCAACCTAGTAAAGTGGTCAGGTTGTCAACCCCCAAGTGGTAGGTTGGGTGTTCAAATTCTATCGACAGCGAAAATTTAGATAATCACCTATGTAATATTTATATTATGGCAACTGTTACTAATAATTGAATTAGGATACCTGTAATGGCAGTCGCACCAGCATGACTGGCAGGTCATGGGGCATCTGTGTAAGTATGGCATTATACAGAGGAATGCAAACTGACAAATCAGACGATGCAAACACTAAATAAGTCCTTGTGGCTGTGTAAATCCATTGAAATTAGATAACAAAAAGTCTATTTGGAAAGACCCAAATAAAGAGATAGCTGAATCTTTGATGGCTCTACTTTAAAGACTAGTCTGGGAAAATGAATACCAAGGTTATAGTACCCAGTCATATTAGCTAGACAGGCAAGAACCTCTGGATTGGGAGGCTTGGAGGTACTACCAATCAGGCCACTAGAATGAACCAGAGGAAAAGGATATCGGGCCAACCCAATATACTGATGAACTGGTCGTAGTCTTATATAGGCTATCTGGATTGGGAATTTAGTAAAAAGGCTGGACAAAAGGCAGAGGTATACTAAAGTACTGAGGTTATGCTATGAAGTAGATGCTAGGGTCTAAGTGAACTCTACAAAGGCATAGCAGTTTAATGGTTAGTCCTGACTACAAGTGTTGGTTCTGCCATTGTGATACCTAGGTCAGCTGTAAAAATGAGTACAGAAGGCTCTGGAGGTTTTACCTTGAGGATAAGTTAGTCCTAAGGTTGAGGATGATAATCTTGTACATCTGAGATGACCAGTGATGTTAATATAAGTTACAAATTCAGAGGGTTTAAAGTAGAACACCTAAGCAGAGGTGTTAGATATAGCAATTGGTAGGGAACCTTCGAGTAGACTTCTTAAATAGGTAATATAGAAAAGTTACATGTGTAGCCAATTGTATGCTCTCCTGTAGTAGTTCATTGAACCACAATACTGATAAGTGATTAATAAAAGTCAAAAGACCAAAGAGGTCACCTTAATACCAAAAAAAAAAAAAATTTATAATATGATTGAATCTTGTTTTTAATAAATATATATTTTAAACTAATAATAGATTTGAAATTCTTCATAATTGAAAATAAATCTGTTATACTGTTACAGTATTGTAATCTTTTTGGTATAATACAATCAAGTAATAAGATTACCTAATATAGTAATATAGTGATTACTATATAGTAACAGACAAACAATTTGAAATAGTAATAGTATATAAATTAAACTTTATTAAACAAATATATAATAACAATTTTGTCTATAGAAATTATTCTAAAAGAAAAATATTATTTTTATAAGTTAGAGATAAAAGTAGAAAGGTTTAAATTGAAGTATAAGCACTTTAAATTGACAAAAAAAAAGAAAAAATACTTTTTATATATCTTTTTATATAATGAAAATAGTAGGAATTTGAGCAACATTACTTGATACTATATTTAAAATAGTAGAAGTTCAAATAATATTAGATATTATTGTACTTGGAGTAGTAAAGCTTTGAACAATATTAGATATTATTATACTTAAAATAGTAGAGATTTGAATAATATTAAATGATATTATGTTTAATTTAGTAAGAATTGTATAAAGGTAACTAGAGATATAATTTATATCATTTGTTATTTATATTTAAAACATTTAAAACTTAGGTTTAGATATTTGAATTCATATAAAGACATTTGAAATTTATGCAAGAATATTTAAAGTTTATGTAAAGACACTTGAAGTTTGTGTTGAGAATATTTGAAATTTTTATACTAAAATACTTAACACAATAATTTGATATTAGAATATATAAAACTTGTATAGAGATATTTAGGATTTGTAAGACAATAGTAACATCATAAATATTATTTAGTATTATATAACTGTACTATATTTTTAATATCAAATTAAGATTTTTTTATTTATATACTATATAATATAACTATTTTTTTTTTTAGACATTAAGGTAAATATATACAACTCAGAATTTTATTGGTAGTATATATTGGCAAACATCTATTAATGTAACAACACAAAGGCAATCATAGAAAAAGTATACAACTAGTTACTTATATAACTTTAGTTATTGTCTAATTTAAATAATCTGCTTAAAGGTTTTAATTAGTTGCTATATCTAGGACCTACTAAAACCTACTAGAGCCTTCTGTATTTTATACTTATAGCTAATCTGATATTGCTTTGACCTAAACTATTACTTTTTTTTTTTTAATATTAATAATGAGGCCATGTTTCTATCTTTATTGAATATTTAATTAAGATTTTACATAAAGTACAATTCTACTTTTAAAATATTATAAAAAAAATAGAAGCTCAAACAAATTTATCTGTAATATAAACTAACCAGAGTAGCCAAGACTTATTTAGATTTAAATGTTAGTAATTATGTATAGAGAATTAGTTTGATATTTAATTTATTAGATATACCAAGAGTTTATTTTTGAACTAATAGAATTAAATAGAAGAGGTCTAAACTATTACTTGTAGTTAAGACTAATCATTAAACTATTATATTTTTGTAAGATTCATCCAAAACTTCAATACTCATCTTTCAGACATCTTTTCTATTGTTTTTTACTAACTGCTATTTAGAACTAACAAAACTCTTTAAACTTCCAATTCAAATAGCCTAGTATAATATATCTTAGTATCTTTTTCCTTTGACAATTCTGATAATCTGGTTAGTTATAAGCTCTTTTATATATCTTGTTATTTAGTTTATTTACCTATTTTTTTGAAGATGTTTTATAGACTTTTATTAGTCCAATAGCATTATTAAAAGTTTTGTATTATCTTTTTACTTAGAATTTTCAAATAGGTTTTTAACTCTTTGGTTTCTTTATTTTTTATATCTAGCAGTTTTATCATAACTTTGCACTAAAGTTTTATATAATACTAGTTATTAACATTCTATTATATAAATATAATATTACATTTCACATAAATGCTCTAAGCTTTTAATCAAAATAATGCAACTAAAGGTTACAAATATACCAATTCAACTGATCAACAGACATTTATTATAATACAGATATAAATTTCAAAATTCATTATTTGTGAAATACTTTAGATCTGCTACTTGGAGGTTGACAACCTGTTTACTTCACTAGGTTATTACATATTCTATATAATATAACTTTTAACTAACTAATAATTAATAACTAATAATAAATATAATATATAAAATACAATAATAAATATAGAGATTGCTATTTCTAACTTCTATTTTTGCTAATGCCACCTTCTTAAATATAAAAAAATGTTTTGAAAAAATATAATTATTAAGTAAATTTTTTTTTTAATATTAATTAAAGTTATTTATTAGATCTTTCTGATTCTAATAGTTATAAAATCATTAAGATTAAACTGGTAGTTCTTAAAATATTTATACTTAAATTTTATAATCTTTAATTTACTTTTAACAAAGAACTACCAGTCTAATATTAATTTTACTATCATTAAAACTAGAAAATCTAATAAATAACTTTAATTAATACTAAAAAAAAATTATTTAATAATAATATCTTTTTTAGAATACTTTTATATATTTTAAAAAGTGTCATTAGCAAAAATAAGAGGTGAAAATAGTAATATTCTCTATTATATAATATGTTATACTAAAAATCTACTTTGTAATAACACTATACATAATTACTAAAATTAAACAGACCTATGCAAAATTAGAAAATAGTATACAAAAATTACTATTAAGTACAAAACTAATTAAAAAATATATATATTAAATGAAATCAACTTAAATAGTTATAAATTAATTTTACAAGTTAACTTGAAATAAGTTTAAAAACATTAATAAACATAATACACTTCCTCTTTTTAGAACAATTAAATGCTTTGATCCAAAATATATACAATTACAAAATAGTAAACATAACTTAGATAATTATAATGAAATTAATGAATTAATGTTACTTGCAAATAATTTAATTGATGAATGAGAAGTATATTGTAATCTTTGAGAAATTTTAATAAAAGTTTTGATTTAAATAATTATTGGATAGAAAAAAGAAACACATTACCAATTTTATCTAAAATATCATTATTTTATATTTGGTTACCTGTTTTAGGTATGGATGTTGAACATAGTTTTTCTGCTTGAAAAATATCCTTAATGATCGTAGATGTCTTTCAAAAAATTCTATTGTACCTTATTTGTTCAATCACGATAAGTTATTATATTAAATTTTTTTAGAAGTTCACCTGTGAACTTATAAATCAAGAATATAACTTGAAGTTACAATAAAATTTTTATATATTAAAATTTAAAGTACTATTTATATGTCGCCGCAGAATTCACAAATCTAACGGCATTCGCAGCAGAATTTGTCGGTTAAAGCAAAACCAATTTCGGCTAAATTTTGAATTTCGGCTAGGGTTTCGTATTCGGCTTAAGTTTCGAATCAGGGTTTCGGATTTTCGGTTTCGTCAAAAACCGTTAAAAGTTTCGGTCACATGTATAGATGATATGATGTAATTTATTTAACACATTTATAGTAGTATCGAATTTAAAATCAACTTGAGATTTAAATTTATCAATTATCAAATTTAGAATCAACTTTAAATTTCATATCAACTTGGGCTGCATTTGGAATTCCGTTTCGGCCTAAGCTGATTCTAAATCCACAATAATTTCAACGTACGACATATATACCCAATATCCAATCCGGTTAAATGATATTAAAAACAGTTGGACATATGTTCAATACGTACCAACACTAGATTTGATGATAATTGTTATGATATAAGTTTTATGAAAATTAGATGCAGGATAACTGTAATATCAAGATCTAAGCAGTAAATGTCTTCCGATCCGCTTCAGATAATAAGCAAAATCTTTTATTTACATTTTCAAAATCTTGAATAAAGTTAAAACTTTAAAGATTTTGTTTGAAATCTCGTAGATAAGTAATTAATTTTAACAATATCAATCGTCCATTGGGAATTGACAATAATTATAATTAAATAATTATTGTTAATAGAAACGTGTTTTCACCATTTACTAAAATCGAAGTTATAACCGGTAGGCTTTGGTTTTTTTGGAGTTGTATCTACAAATTGCTCCTCATTCAAATCATCTTCATTATCCAATTCTCGTTTTTTTGATATAGATGACTTTAAATATTTTCCAACTGTACAATTATCTTCTTTGTTTATACTATATGATGATGTCAATTTGTTACCGAACCAATTAGTTGTTGAGTCCTAAAATAAAATATACATTAGCACATTATAAAAATAACCATAGTTATTAATTAAGTAAAAACCTTTTCATTTTTTCGTGGTTTTTTATCTTGAGTTTCTGCTGATTGTCGATTCAATTTTTTTTCAAGATTTTTTTTGTATTCATCATATGGATCCATAAATACAGTTATATTAATAATTTTAATTTCATTTAATGGACGATCAGAATCATCTGTGGGGACAGATTCCATTTTATCTAAAATATCTTTCCCTCCAACTAGCTTCCCAAAAATTGTATGTTTGTTGTCCAGGTGCATACAAGGTCTAAAAGTAAAGAAGCTGAAATGATAATAATAATGCGTGAATCAGTTGATATTATATTAAATTCATGAACAATTTCAAATAATGAAATGGAATATAATATTTACAACTGAGATGAATTAGTATTCTTTCCTTTATTTGCCATACTTAAAAGACCTCGCTCATTATGGGACAAATTACTTTTGAATTCGTCCACAAAATCTTTTTTCCAATATGATTCCCCCCCTTTGCCAGTACCAGTAGGATCCCCGCCTTGAATCTAAAAACAAATATTATTATAATTTCAACCTTGTTTAATAAATGTCATACATATATATATTTACCATAAAATTTTTGATCTTGCGATGAAATATTGTCCTATAATTTATTTGGCGAAAATTCAATGAGCTTACAAGATATTTTAAATGTATAACATGGTTGTGAATTTCTTATACAAACCCGTTATAATACTCTTGCTTGGAAAGCATGATAAAATTAAAGCAAGCCCTTGGTGACTGGTTAAAACGGTATTGTTAAAATATAACAAAAAAAACATTATACATTATTTTTGTTGAGAAAAATACCTTATCGCAAAAAAGTTCAACGTTCAGATTACCGAGGTTAGTCGTTATACGGGCATAACCTTTAGTTTTAATTTCCTTGAACATAAATTCTTCTTCGTCAATTAGTGCATTTTCATTTACGGTTACCGGCGTCATTGCGGTTGACGTAAATGAGGCAGCCGCGAGACCACGCGTGTATGGCGCAGCATTATATGGCAATTTCTTAGGTTTAGATCCTGCAGTAGGTGGTGTGACTTTTGTTTTTGTTTCAGAGGAGGCGGGTTTCGACTCGATAATAGTATCATGTTTTTGATCCGACACTTCATCTTGCTACAAAAATATGCCTATAGCTTAGTATTAAATAACCAAATGACCAGTTTAAGCGAATAAGTGCTTACACGACTTGAAATTTTATTCAACACGCGTGCTGCAGAACCCACAGCACTGATATTAATGTCGTTCAAAGGATTATCCTTTCCATTTTGACCTTAAACATAACAAAATGTAAGAATAGCAAATAAAAGGAATATACAGTATAGTTCTTTATTAAAAGATAAAAACCTTCATCTATTTTTATGTTATTCTTCACATAATAAAAGTTCGATAAATTACGATTTTCAAGATTATGAGGATCCTGTATGGGACGAATATTAAATTACAATATAGTAACAAACATATGGTGTTAATTTCAGTAATGAAAATGCCATTACCTGTATAGTTATTATATCTTTTCTTGTGAAAGGCTCGTCTGTTAATAAATCTGTCCAATTTTTGACTTTAATATTTAGTCGTTCAATGGCTTCATACGCATAAACATTGCCGGTGGTTTTAATTGCAACGATATGTGTGTGGTCATTGAAAACTCTAAGTGTTGCAGGGCAATGATATTCATCTATAAATTGTAAGAGCATTATCTTAATAAGTCGTAATAATAATAGTGGTAACAATACAGTCAACTCTATCCATGTACAGGTCTTGCTAAAATTTTCTTTAATGCAGATTATTTTGCTGCCTCAAGCACATAAGAATTATATGTATTTTACTATTTTTAAACATTATCTTAAAATGCAGATCTTTTTTAACGTATGGTCTTGTCATGCTGCGTTTAGGAGTTGACTATAACAATAATAACTTGAACATTAATATATACCATTTGCATTCTTATGAAAATTAAGTTTAATCAAAGACTTAGGTTCCAGCTTTTCACCGGTAACAGGGTTTACACCATGTTTCTTTAGATAAGGATATATATTTCTGAACCATAAATGAATGAATTAAAATATAGATAACCTTATAATTGATATATTACCGCAAATCGTCATAGAGGTACCGAGTACGTTACATTCCACCGGTCAAAAACCTATATTATACCCGGGGGATACACTGCGGGGAAAGAGGGTATGATAATTGGTATAATTTTCATATAAATCACCCGTTAATTTACCCGGGGTATCTTACATTCCACCAAATATTCAACCCTACAATATACCCTTATCAAGGGGGGTACTCTATATGGCGATTTACGGTATTTATGTAGAAATCATATAATACCTCAGATCAAAAATTGTTCCATCAGGTGAGCATACAGGATGTTCGAACGGTTGTAAAGATAACGAACAGTAATTGAATGGTAATCTTTTAAAATTTTGTGTTTTTTTCCTAGCTTGAATACCACCAAACTGCATTCCACCAAATTCACCAGACCACTCTAAATAATATATAAATACATGAGTTAGATTAAACAAAATTAGTGAGCAGCAAACTTGACAGGTCTGATCCCTTACCAGAATGAGTGATATACCTGCATTCATTTTGATGTAAGATGAGTTAAAATGATAATACAAGAAACTAAGCATCAAAAAATAAAATAAAATAAAATAAAATAAAAAGTGTAATTACATTTTGTCAGTACCTTTACCCATTTTTCTAATGATTTATGACTTGAAAGAGAATTAGTTAAGTTGAAAAATATTCACGTAATAATATATGCATGGTTGTGTGTCACATACTGCTATTGTGTCCATATTTATAATCGATAGATCAACCATTCAATAATCCGTAATCCGTAATTCGTAATCGTACTAATTAATTTACGAAATCACATCTAAAACATAATATAATCGAACATAGATCATTATGAATGCTGACGAAATTATACAACTAAAGAAGTCGTTGGCGAAGGCGCTTGATGGTGGAATGACTAGTGTAAGTTTATTTGGTTAGTTAGTAATGTAATCAGCGTGTGACTTGAATAATTGACCTTTTCATACGAACAAACATCCCAAATAAAGAATGTCCTTGACATATTGAATAGGCTCAAGGATAACACTCCTACGAAAGAAGTTTTAAAGGTAGGAAAGTTTAGCCTTGGCTGATTGTTGGGTTTTCTTTTTTATTAAAAAAAAAATTGATCCTTTAATAGAAAACAGAAATCGGTCTGATTATTGGAAAGCAACGTTTACATCCAAATCCCGAAGTAGCAAAGCTTGCGAAAGAAATTGTAAAGAAATGGAGAGATGCAGTTAGTCCATCTAAGGCTAATAATGCACCTAATGGTTCTACAAAATCAGCTGTTCCGGAGAGTAAAGCTGATACGGTAAACAACGCTACACCTGGGCAAAGTCCGATGGTTAATGGAAAAAAAATCAAAAGAGAGAACACACAAGATTCTTTGTCCTCATCATCATCTGATATACCAACATCAATTGATTCTGAAAAACGAGAACGTAGTTTTGATCGTGATCGCCCTCCTTATAAAAGTACAAACAATTCTGCGAGAGATAAATGTGTAAAGATGCTATACGATTCAATGGTATTCGATTCATACGCCGGTGAAGCTTTATTTTATCATTATACTATCCAAATATCCACTATTTAAGGTTCAACATTAATTTTTTCTACATACTATTGAATATCTTAGATTCTGATATTATTCTTTTGCGAGCTATCACCATTGAAAAAACAGTTTTTGATCAATTTGGGAGACAAGTAATCGACAAATATCGAGATAAGTTACGTGGACTTATTTCAAATCTTAGAGACAAAAAGAACCCAGGCCTTAGGAAACGTATTGTTGATGGCGAGTTACAGGCTGAAGACTTTTGTACTATGTCTAAGGAAGTAAGTTATATACAATTGAATATTAGGATTAAAGGATACTTTTTTTGTAACAACTTTCAAATTGTTGTAAATGCAAAAGGATATGGCATCAGAAGAGAAAAAAGCCAGAGACAATGAAATTCGGCAAGAAAATCTTTTCAAGGCACTTGGTGCTGGGCCAACACAAGCTGAAACTGATATGTTTCTCTGTGGAAAATGTCGTAACCGCAAGTGCACTTATTACCAGATGCAGGTAAATTTGGTTAACTTGATTTGCACATTACTTTGCACAAGTTGAATTTATCCACGATCGAACTACATACCAGACTAGAAGCGCCGATGAACCTATGACAACCTTTGTTACTTGTACAGTCTGTAACAATCGTTGGAAGGTAATGTCTTTTAATTTGATTCTTTGTGATTTCGTTTTGATACAGTAATAAAACATATGTCTATCCCTGAATTAAATATTTAGTTTTGTTAAGAACATAATGTGGAAGTATTACGGTTGGGCTGTTTTAGGAAAAACTTTCTAAAGTTTGTTAATTTCAAAGTGAAATTCACTTAATTTTTGCAACAAAATAGATGTTTTGAAAGATTTAAGATCTTATGTCCGCAGAACTTTAATAACGTTTGTGGAATTTTCAGAAGTTCTGATTAGTTCTTTAAGATCATTAAAGATTATTAAACCAAGTATAATAAAAAGATGATGTTTGAAGATCATTTTTTTAGTGCTTGTTAATAATATTTTGGTATTAAATACATGGAACTTTCTTGGTGATCCTTATTATAAATATGAAACCTTTAATAATTTATATATACTAGAAAATTTTATGAACATCATAAAATTTTAATTTTATGGATAATTAAGATGATTTAAACTTAAGAATAAATATATTCACAAGTCAGAAGTTCGCGCATGTATGAACTTGTAATATTAATTTGTATTTGTTTATTGTGGATGTACACAAGGAATTTATTTTGACATATGCAATAATCTACCTTTAGTTAGTCCTGATGAAGTTGAGTGCTTGACATTCTTATTGTCGTCTTTTAGTTCTACCAAAAATCTTGAGAACTAACCATTCTAGATCCACTGGATGAAGATTATGTGTAAGTAGTGGTTTCAGACCTAATAGGTAGTGTAAATATTCTTGTAAACGTATGTTAAATGTGTGACTATAATTATAGTAACAGTTAATTGATTAACTAGGTCGTCGTGACATACTATTTCTACCCGGTCCTGTCCAAAAATTTTGACCCATATTTCCTGACTGTGATTATTCAATATAGATAAATTTGTGGTCAGCATGATTTAATTTTATACTTATAAGATAAAATATTGACTTAATCTTGAAAACTACCATCCCTTGGATAAAATCCGCCACCACCACCTTCCGGCCAAAAATTTTGATAATGGTTACGATGATCTATAAAAATTTTTTTCCTTTTTTTTTTATTAAAACATTGGTTCCATTTTAGATTCAAAATGAAATAAAATAAATAACGCTCTAAAAGGGAATATACTTGAAATGTCTTCGTCTGCTTATGGTAACTGTTTAAAAAATCTTATATAAAATAAAATCACCAAACTTATCCAGACAATTGAAAATAACTTTGGCTGATAAATCACGAAAAAAATGTGAATAAATATTCAAATAAAAGCTTAAGATCTAATCTTTCTTTTGACTATTCAATAATGAGAATAGCTTCGAAATTCATCGAGATATAAGTAGTGAAAGTTATGGTATTAATTTTTTTTTAAATGTTAATCTGCTTGATTTCTATTGACAGCAGCCCAAATAATTACAGGTATTGCGTTAAATTCAATTTTATATGTATCCGTAACCCTTATTCAATGAATGCTAATCAAATACTGAAATATAAACTATACTTTTATGACTGAATAATTTGTAGTATTCGTCATTAATGAATTGACTCGACACAAAAATCGTTGCTCGGTCGTTACCCCTAAAAATTTTTGTTTAATCGATCAATCATTAGGCAATAATTGATTGATTATAACTTGCCTACTAAATTTATAAAGTAAAACAATAAGGCTACACAAATTCAATTACTTGGTTTTCACAACACGAAAATTTTAAACAGAACCGACCGGATGTTTTTTTTTTAAAAAAAAACTCCCGCCCGGTTATTAAAACATAAAAACAATTTTTTACAAATTTCGAATTTTGATCCGGCCGGGTTATGAAAATCAATTATTAATTTTGCATGGCCTAATGCAGTGTTGGGCTGACCAGACCAATCTGGTCATGTATCTTTAACATTGGTCAAATAGTCTGGTTACATGAACAAATCGACTGAATAGACCAATTTGACTATAATCAAATTTGCTTGATTGGTCTAATTGGTTATTTGGTTCGTATATCCAGACCATTTGACCAGACCTGGTTGACCAATGACCAATAAATTTATAGTCGACCACTAATTTGACCAACACTGGCCTAATGTATTCTATGAAAATTTTCTTGATCGAAAATTAAACCATCTGACCGATCAAACATGATTAATCATAATTGACCTACCTTTGATCGAGTCCACAAAATCATGCTCGATTATTGATTCAACTCGATCACTAACCAATCATGATATAGTAGAGTCAATTTACCATCCATCATCATACAAATAATCGTATCGAAAGTATTCGTCACCTTCGAACCGTTGGTAACTTCGATCCTCTATCCAGCTGTCTTTGTAATAAAGTGTATACTCGAGTCCACATGACCCTAAAGCAAGGTTGGCAATGAATAAAGTTCATTGAGATAATTATCAATAGACCGAATCTATTGGCTCCATTGAATCAACAAATCAAATTATATTAATAATTTTATAAATTTCAGAATATATAATATATATATTATAATTTATAGTTATTATGTTGGACTCCATTGGCAAATTATTCTCAATGGCCAATGTCAATGGAGATCTTCTCCATTGGATCCAATGGATAAATGTGCCAACCCTGCCCTAAAGCATTTGAATGTTAATTAATTATCCTTAAAAATAAAGAGCAGTAGCTTTGGCAACATACCTTGTAGAATGTACGGATAATCAGGATAATTATACCCTATGTAGATCAAGAGACCAAAATATTTAGTTACAGTATGCACCATTAATAAATGAAAGATTTCAGATGCTTTCAATATATTCATCCAAACGGACAACCCACTTTGATATTATCTGGACATTAATAAACTAGTCTGAATTGAGCAGATGTCTATCGTACCATACTTGTTCAAAAAATTTCTTATCCCAATATCAGAAAGTTCTCAACGAATCTAACCCATGTTTATTCCTACATACCTTCACAACTGACTGTCAACTACATAATTTTTTTTATATAAATATTAATTTGGACTGTTGTATAAAAAAATTGCGCACAAGCCAATATCAATACAGTGAAACTCTTTAAATGTATCCATAAAAATGTGCATTCTTAAATGCATCTAATATTTTAATTGCAACTTTAAATATACATTTATCTGATCCCAAGGGTATATTTAGAGAAGTTTCACTGCATAAATAAAAACAGCGTACAGGTCTAAATTTAAATATTCAGGAAGGTCAGCATTGCAACGCCAATTCGCATCTTAAAATAATAGATTCTATATGTTTAGTCAAATCTAGTACTAATTAATAATGAAAGAAATACACTGAACACGACCCTGATCCATCGGAATCTGTGTTAGTGCATTGTATTATATCTAAAATGCGAGAAATTAAAATTTAGAATCATGAACACAAATCTTCAAAAGATCGTAATCGATCAATAAATGCAGACCTGGCATATACGTGTGGCCATCACCTCCGACACAACGCAGTTGCTCAATTGGATCATTTCTTCGACCTGTTGTTATTTCCTTGATGTAAGGTAATCGTTCTTACATCTTCAAGAAGGACTTTAGAGTTTCAAGTCGCTTCGCTGTAACTAAAACATAATAACAGTATAAAAAAAAAATCAAAAAGTCAAAAACCTGCATCCTGTCCTACGTCAACTGACTGACTCATGTGTCATTAACATAAGGATATATGATTATTTTCGATTATTAACCTTCGAGCAACATGAACCACATTTTTCCAGAGGTAGTTGTTGACTTGAACGGACGTTCCATTAATATTAAAGAACTCGCCAAACTTCATGTTTTGATTTTAATTACACTTAAGGTATTAGCAATTTCTAACTTCAGTCTATACTATGATTAAATTTTAAAAAACAGCAGAGCAAAGGTTCTAGTTAGGACTACTAAGAACTTAGGATACTTATTATTTGTTTTTAATTTTCAAGGCAGCATGGTGTCCGGTATGTCCACAACTTTTGTTGATCTTGAATCTTTATGGATTGCAAGATAATTCACCAGAAAGTTTTCAAGATCCTTTCGACGGATCTAACATAATGAAAGTTCCTTCAGAAGATATTCCAGTATGCTTGATTATTTTATGTCTATTATATTTATGAAAATATAAGTCTTGACATATTTTTACATAAAAACAGTTTAACAGGCTTCTTTTAAAGACTGACGCATACTTTATAATTATCTGTCCCGGCCCTGCTGATGAAGTACGTCGGATACAATCTCTTTGTAATTTCTCAAAATGTCCATACCCATTTATCGTAGATGAGGATCTTTCGCTTGCATCACAAATTGGGCTTAGGTATTGATTTTTTTAACTCATTAAAAGCATTTTTTAAAATTTGTTATTTAATTTCTGATGGATTTCTCATGAAAAAAAAGGATGTCACATACAGAAATGTGGCCATTCATAGGGCATATATATTCAGAAACACGCATTATTTTCCCCATAAGTTTGGGACGTGGCCCTGGGCTTTATGGTCACAATCAATTATTAAAGTATTTACATGAATATCGTATTCAAGTTGAAAAGAGCGCGAGCGATTATGTATCTAAGGCATCAGAACTAGAAACACTTTTTAAAAAGGTAACATATAATATACTGTCAATAGGAGACGTAGAAAATAAAGCTTTGCAGAAACAAATATTTCCTATAGAGCTATTTGCGCAAATATTTGAGCACATTGAATCAAGAGAAATGATGAAAACTGTCGTAGCTACGTGTAGACAATGGAGAGCAATTGGATTTGATATAATAGCTATGAGAATGAAGCAAGCAGCGAATTGTGTGCTAGAATCTCTTGTTATATGTTCTCAGACAAAACGAAGTGATAGCAATAAAATAATATTACCAGTAGATAATAAAGCTATAAGTGTTCATGAGTTGGATTTGCACGTTAAGGATTTGAATGAAATAACTGAAATTGTTCAGCGACTTGTTGACCAGACCGATTTGATGGCTTTTATGATTATGAAATAAGTTAAGCTCGTAATTATCAGTAAATATTTTTAGTTCAAATTTACTATATTTTAAATTTTAAAAAGTTTATTCTAAATTCTATTCTGCAACATTTTTATTATTAATACACGTAATATGTTTTTTTTAAAATAAATGTATCATATGCAGATAATTTTATTTTTATACAAGAAATTATTTGTATTTTGTGAACGTTGTCTTTTTTTATTAGGATTGCTAAACTAAGCAGAGATCACTGATCAACACTCAAAAAATTTTATTGAAAGAATGGCATATTCACTAACAAAAGAAGCTATTTTAAATGCTAAAGCTTTAATTATTGTTATAATTAATGCTGAGATTAATAGGAATAATAAATTTTTTATAAGTCCATTTTGTTAATATATGGGGTTGAATTAATAGAAACCAAGCAAATATTTTAATAAGTTTTTTTAAAAAACTTTAAAGGTAGAGTGTAATATTGATGGTATATTTTTTTAGTAATTTTAATTATAAAAATTTTTACTAATTAAATATTTTTTAAGCTTTTAAGTAAGCTTATAAAGTAGGTTTTTGTAATTCTAATAGTAGTAAAATTATTAAAATTGGTTTAAAACTTAGTGATATATAAATTTTTAAAGGTTATATAAAATTTTATTATTAACATTTATTTATAATTTTTCAGAAATTAAGTTAATTTTTTGTATAATCAGAAAAAATTAAGATATAAACAAATATATATATATATTTTTTAATATTAAAGTTTTTATTTTTGAGATATGATATTTTTATTTAAGTATATAGGACATGGCATGCTATTAGGAGCTATTTTATATTGAAAGTTACAACTAGTTACATGTGTACTTTTGGTATTTAATTTAAGTAGTCTGCTTATACATTATTATATAAGTTTTACATTAGATTAGAGATTTGCATTAGGTCTTATAGCCTAGTTTAGTTTACAAATTTTTATAAATTAGACTAGGCTTGAAAGAAAATTTTATAATTGTAGACCAGATCAGACTAAAAAATTTGTAAAATTTTATAATTGTAGATTAGGTTAGGTCTAAAATTTTGTAAAATTATATAAAAAATTTTGCAGATTAGATCAGATTATTCTAAGTTAAAGAAAAATTTAATATATGCAAGTTAGACCAGGTTAATAAAAAAATTTTAATTCTAAATATGGGTAAAGTTGGATTAGCAAAAAAATTTTAACCCTAAATGTAAGCTGAACTAGATTTCAAAAATAGGTAATTTGCAAGCCTTTACATTAGATATCATATCTGCAAATCAATTAGATATCTTGATTATTTAAACTTTTTGTATATGCAATTCTCTTTGCATTATAAGAACATCTTCAAAATTACATCTATTCAAGTTCTTGATGCTAGTCAGTATTCTTAGGACTACTTTATTCTTGACAAGAAACTTACTAAAGCCTTTATGTTTTATATATACTAATCTAGTTTTATATAACATACTATAGTTACCTAACATTTACAGTTATAAGAATTAACTGTTTAACTACTATATTATATATTTCTATTCTTGTAAAGTTTACTATAATAGAGGTATGGTGACCTAGTGAAGTGGTCAGGTTGTTAACCTCCAAGTGGCAGGTCCAGAGTTCAAATCTCAATATTGATGAAAAATTTAAAAATTCTTTCTATATTACAATTAACTGTTTCTTGCAATTGGTTAGGATAAGACACTTGTAATCTATGTCGCACCAGCATGACTGGCAGGTCACATGGCATTTGTGTAATAGTTACATGACATTGTCCTTTAGGACAAGGTCTGTGGTTACACAAAGAAATGCAAACTAGGACCAGGCAGTGCAAATACTAGATAAGTCCTTGTGACCATGTAAATCTGTTGAAATTGGGTAACAAAAAGTTCATTTGGGAAGAC